CAGGTTAGAGAACTATGAAAATGTCTTTGGTGCCCTGAGAGCCTGTCCATTTTCTATGCCTGGGTGTAGTGTATGGTAAGTTTCAAATTCCCAATAGGTCAAATTATATCCCTACCTAAAAGTTTCCCCACAATTCATTGTAAGAACAATTTGGAGTGGTTATGCTCACAGCATCTTATATAATCTGGCCTTTGACCCATTTCCACACAGAATCTACTCACAGGCTGGGTGCAGTAATTCATTTTTCTTATTTTTTTCCTTCCTTTTCATGTTTGCTCCTTTTTTTTTTTCATCTGAGCATCACAAATAACACATGATCTAAGGGTGACCTCTTTCTTAGTCTAGACTGTAGAAGACTTGTAGGAAAATATGAACCAAAGCTGAATTCTGGTACCAAAACTACCCCACCAATATGCCTGAATTAAATTAGCTGCAGTTGACCATAGAAGCCTTGAAATAACAATCCATGCACCACATGCATGCCTGGTGCCTGTAGAGGTCATAACAAAGCATCGGAACCCTGGAACTAGAATTACAGATGGTGGTGAGCTGCCAGGTAGGTGCTCAGAGCTTAACCTAGGTCTTCTGCACTAGCAGTAAATGTTCTTAATCACTGAGCCAAATCTCTAGTACCTCCTTTTTATGTTTTTAAGACAGGGTCTCTTACTGAACATGGAGTTCAGCAATCCATGTGATTCAGCTTCTGGGGTGATGTACCTGTCTCAATACCTATATCCCAGTTGGTGCTAGGGCTCTAACTCAGCTCTACTTGTACCTCCTACACTTTGACAACTAAGCCATCTGCCCAGTCTCAAAAACTACTATGTTCTGTGCTGATTTTCAGTAGTCATGTTTTCCTTTTAAAGAGAGTTTCTAACTTTGAGTGATTCCCAAGATGGGTTTCCAAGGTCTATCAACATCTGCTTATCTACAGTGTCCTTGGATGATCCATGGTTAGTGTTCTGTTCATTTCCAAGCCTGGAGACCAGGGACCAGATGAAGGCAGAAGGCAAACCGGGCACCCGGGGTTACAGATGTATGCACGTGGCTCTGACAGCCTATCACCAATGTCAAGTTGAGATTAGCTTATAGCTCTATGGCTCCACTCTCAGAGAACACAAAGACTCTTGAGTTTTACAGACTCTACTAGGCTATACTTGTGTAATAAATCAAGCTGGTGTCTAACTTCAATATGGTGAATAACACATACTCCTAGGAAAGAACACATTTCTACTCATCAGAGAGTTCACATGTTTATTAAAATAGCTAACACTGAGTTAGCCTCAAAACAAAAACAAAAACCAGAAACAAAACTAAGAATAGCAAAAGTTAGATTTCTTTTTTCCAGCCTGAATGTTTTTATTTTTTGCATCTGATTCACTCAGAACAACATAAGGCTATAAGTGTATGAATGAGATAGGACCCCTCCCAGAGCATAGGTAGTCTCTCTGGGGTCATACCTGAGAGTATGGAAACCAACTCTCCATCCCCCAGCAGCTATTGAAGGTTAAAAGATCCTCCAATCAGGTGGGACTTCATGAGCCTCTTCCTCAACCCATGCTGGGAGTTTTGCTGGCTTGTATAGGTCTTGTATATGCAGTCAGAGCTGCTGTGGGTCATCTGTGCGATGATACTGTTTCCCTGCAGATGTCTCCATCTACCACCATTGACTCTTTAGTCTATCTGTCCATTCTGTGGTGGTCCCTCGGCCTTGGGGAAGGAGGGATGATTTAATGTCCCATTTAGAACTGAGCACTCCAGTCTCTTATTCTCTGTACACTGACCACTTGTGGCTCTCTGTACTATTTGCCACTGGTAAATCAAGAAGTTTCTCTGATGAGAGCTGAGGGACACACTAATCTATGGGTATTATGCTGAGAACTTAGGGACAGTTTAATTCTATTCTATTTAGCAGAATAATAGCATTCTGTTTTCTCCTAGGGCCTACGACCTATCCAGTCGGGTTTTTGGCCCAGTAAACAGCATCAGGCACAGTTTCCTTCCTGAGGAGCAAGCTTTCTCACTCCGTTTTGTAGTGACATAGAATGTCCACTTAGACTCATGTTTCAGTGATTTGGCCCCTTTAAATGGGCATGGACAGAGAAGATGGAATACTGTACCAGCCACTGTTATTCCTTTGCTCAGCTTTCGTCCATCCTGCGAGTGATGATGAGTGATTCCTTGTGTTAGGAGCTGGGCTGGAAAGTCGAGCCTGTTGGTGAAAAACACATTATACTTGTCTCAAGAGGCTTGTAAATAGGTGATTGAAAATTTGGGGTTTGGAAACTATGCAAAAACATTGAAATTTTCGGTTACATAAAAATTTTATGCAATATCTTAATTTTGAAAGTCAGTGTGTGTTCACATATGAATATACCTTGATGCTTAATGAAAATAAAACTTTTTTTTTCTGATTAACTACTGTTTTCAAGCTTTCACAGAATATCACATTTGTATCAACTTCAATTTTCTAAATGATGTCAAGCAAAGTTTTTTTCTATTTATTTTTATTATTTTAAGTTGGAATTTTATAGATGGGTTTAACCTTGTATACAATTATGCAGAAACTTAAGAACACAGACTTTAATTTCAAAGAAACTAGAAAAAAATTTGTCACTACAATGTGCTTGTCACATGTAGCTTTACTTGGATAACAAAGATCCTGCCCAAAAGACCAGATCATTTACTCCCAGTTGAATAATGGCCAAATCAAGGACCCAGTGGGGTTGGGAGGATAGAACCTGAATATTTCTGGCACTTACCTTTTGATGGGAAACTGTTTTGTTTCCCATCATTTCCATACTGTATGCACTGGGGGATAGAAGGATCTGGGAGGTTTAAGCAGAACAAATTGCAAATTCCACACCTAACATGAGAGAAACCTCACTCTTTTTTTCCTCAATTATTGTTATTCTGTCTTCAGCTAAGCTTCCAAAATGATAAAGTTCAGACAATTTCTTCTGTGGAGTCATGAAATCACCTAGAATGAAGATCAATGCCTTAAACCCCAGTAATTCGGCTGGTTCTACCAGATAGATGTTCAAGCTCACACCAAGAATCAGAGAGCACCCTGCTTCTTTGCAAGGAGATAACCCTGATATCTATTCTGTTTTAGATTGGCTTTATGTTTTCTAGGAGGATCTGAGGGAAAGCCCAGGATACAGATTTTAATTTCATTTAATTAAATAGGTACTTGGGGGGTTACATTGTTATCCAGATACTGTGCCAGATACAAGATATTTTTAAAAGTTATTGAAATAGCCTTTCATGTCTTTGGACTAGGAAACAAGAAATGTTCTCAATACAATATAGAGCTGTCCCATTCTACCGTTGAACATTTATACGTTTATTATTTTACTTTAGAATATGGTGTGTGCATGATAAGTATAGATTTTAAACTCTGAAACACGATGTATCTTTAACAAAGAACATTGGAGGAAATTTTATCCAAACAGAATGTGCAAGAAGCCAATTCATCTCATCAGAAGCCTTTAGAAGAAATACATGATCACTAATCCCTCGGGTTTCTATTCAAGAATTTCTATTCAGTTCATATGTATATATAAAGATAAACGAACCACTAAGCTTTAATTTAATTTACAACATCTGTAAGGAGAAATTGCTGTGCCTTTGTCTCATTACAAAGGAACCAGCCTGACGAATGCGCTGTTCTTCTCTGGGACTTTGTAGGTACTTACTTGGAAATGGAGTAGAACATTAAGAATTTCCTTTTTTTCTATTTAATGGAAGGAATACCAAGGAGGCATAAGAAAAAAAAAAAAAAAAAAAAACAAAACCAAAAAGCTTTACAAATGCCATGTAAATCTCAAAAGGAGGGAGTGAGGTACTAAACAAAGGATGGCATCAACTAAGAGAGAGAGAGAGAGACAGAGAGAGAGCGAGAGAGAGCGATAGAGAGAGAGAGAGCGATAGAGAGACAGAGAGAGAGAGAGAGAGAGGAGAGAGAGAGAGAGAGAGAGAGAGAGAGAGAGAGAGAGAGAGAGAGAGAGAGAGAGAGAGAGGTAGAAGAAACGAGAGGGGGAAGAAGTTGGTGTCTCAGAAACTTTTAAAACTTCTGAGCCAGTAAACCTCCTTTGCAGGGGCAGGGCGGGGAACGTCTATGCTCTCCAGAGACCACTCCCAGTTAAGTTCCTCTCCAGTTTTCCCTACCCCTCCTCCATTCCTCGCTTTAGCTCCCAAACCCGGGAAGCAACGGGGGGGTTGCCAGCACAGGTACCTGAAGTGTGTCACACATGGACACTGATGGCGTGTTTATTTTAAACGCCACACACCCCATATAGGCCGTATTTGTAGACAACTCTCCGGGAATTCGAAGTACGATTTGAAGCTCACAGCCTATAAAAGAACAATAGTAAAACTCAGTGCTCCGTGCATTCTTTTGCGCCCAAGGGTTCGCGAGTGGCGCGGCGAGCCAGAGCCCTGGCGGGGGCCAGGAGCTGGAGCCGAGAAAAGGCGCACTGCCCCTTTAAAAGGCCGCGCATCTCCAGGCCGGCCTTCCTCCCCGGGGCTCCAGCTGTGATTGACGCTGGGCGGCGAGAGGAGGCGCCTGGCGCTAACAAAAGTCCGGCCCGCAGGCGAGCTGCGCCGGGCCACAAGTCTCCGCTCACTCGGGGCACCGCAACAAGTGGCCGCCGCGCCCTCCCCGGGGAAGCCGCGGGCGCACGGAGGTGCAGGGAGGAGGCGGTGGAGCGGGACAGCCCGGGGCAGGCGCGGCTCAGCGCGCACGACTGGGGACCAACCGCGGAGGCGCATGGGGACCCCGCGGCGGAGGCGCGGCGAGCCTAGGGGCGGCACCGGGGCGCGGGCTCTGAGTCGCGCGGCTCACTCTAGCCTGGAACACGGATTCTGAGAACCCCAGTGGCTGCCCTGGACCCTGCCTGCCACCCCCGAAAGTGCCAGGAGCGGACCTAGCAGTACCCCTCCCGCCGCAGAGCGGGGCCGTTCTCTGCCTAGATCGGCCCGCAGAAGGGGCATGTGCAGCTAACGGTCTGGTCCTCCGGTTTTCCGCTGCCCTGCCGCTTAGGAGGTGCGCCCCAGCTATGCAGTGTCCAGGGAGACGACGGGCATGACGGCGACAGGATGGGCGCGAACAATGGCAAACAGTACGGCAGTGAGGGTGAGTGGGCCGAACGTCCCCGACTCCAAGATCGCGCCCCCTCCCTTTCCTCTCGGTCACAGCTCAGGCGCGCCGTACTTTGGTGCGGTTGGGGTTGTCGTCTTCCCTTTGGGCTCTGCTCTGGTACCTCGAGGATGCCTTTCCATCACCGAGGGTCTCTTGAGCAATTTTCCAGGTTGTCTTTAGGACTGCTCAAGTTGCGTTTCTGCTGTGTTTCTCTCTGAACACGTGTGCCTCAGCTTTCCTTCCCTGCATACCTTGGTGTAGGTGAAGGTTTGGCAGAGAATTGAAGCAGTGAAACTTTCCCAGGCTTTTGTGCTTCAGTCCTCTGGACTTCCTCGTAACAGGAAAGGAAAAAAAAAAAAAAAAACAAACAAAAAAAAAACTTCTGGAAGAAGTTAAGCTTCCATTCTTTGCTAACTGCCCTGGTCTGACAGCTCCGTGAAACTAACCACCTATGGGTCCCGCGAGGCACAGAGTGGCTGGGAGCTTTGTCTGGGCTCTCCTGAGGCTCAAGACAGGCAGAGCACCATCTGTTACTCGGGGCTGGAAATTGCACAGAAATATTGCCTGTCAAGTGAGAACTTGGAAGTTGGGGAAACTTTAAACTCCGCCTACTCCTAAAGGGATGATGGATGTGTGGGTTGCCTTCTCAGTCCCGCCTCCCCCCTCTTTGCATAATACCGGCAGTGTTTTAACTCCAGTGATTAACAGGATTTCCCTGATAGGCACACAGCAAAGACCTTTTCTGCAGTTCAAGAGTTAAGGTCTGTATCTAGTGAATCTGGTTGGACAGAGTGGAGAAACTGGGTTGGCCTTAGAACCTTCCCCCAGAGCACAGGCACTTACAAAGGAGGGGCCAGCCCTAGCAGACTGGTAGGAATGCAGAACAGCATGTGGTGTTAAGGAACCCCTTATCAGCCTGTTCAAAACTTGGGGTCTCTGTATCTGTGTTCATTTCTGAGCAACTCTGTTAAATCATACTAAAAGCAAGCCCTAAAAAAAAAAAAAATCCACACGATGAGGAAACAAGACAAAAGAAACTATATATATATATATATATATATATATATATATATATATATATATCATATTCTTGTTCTGGACAGATAGGTGAGGGAAAAATTTTGAAAAAAAAAAAAAGTCCTACTTAGATAGCAAGTGTGAAAGTGTGCCAGAAAAGAGTCAGGGTACCTGTCAGTGTTGGGTTTGACACAGGAGGAGGAAGCATGGCCTCAGAGGTAGAGTCCTTACTCTGCTTCTCCAACTAAGCCGTTGCAGGGTTCTCCTAACCCTCTGTAATGTGCTCTTACATCTCAGTGTATCGTATCGTATAGTCCAGTGTGTGGTATACGACGACTTCCTGTCTGGACAGCAGAATTTTCAACCCTTGGGAGAAAAAGGGATAGACAGGGAACTAATGTTCTCCAGCTGTTACCAGTAAATGCTACCTCTGTGTTTTCACTTCGGTTCAAGTCAAATTTTACTGGGATCAGATTTAGATACACTGTAGACTTCTTATAGGAAAAAAGTAAGACCCCCCCCCCCAAAAAAAAACCCTCTTGGAGACTAATGGCAGTGTTTGTGAGTTTTGGCTGGAGAGCCACACTGTGTTTAGTTTTCATCAAGTCATTTCAGATGAGTCAAGATGCCTCTGCGATTGATGAGAAAGAAAATAGAGAAACCCAAGTAACATGACCTCAGACCCCCCCTCCTTTCCCTTTCTCTGTGTTATACTGTAGCCTTTTCTAAATAAGGTTTTATATATGATTACAAATAGTAAATAAAACTGTGGCCTGATATAAATCCTCATAGAATTGCCTCATATGCTATGAGATGCCATATATCTTATCCAAAGTAACAAATTCAAAGGAAAGTCAAAGCTATCCCTACTAATTTTATCTGTTAAGCAAAGAGGACCCAGAATCAAGTAGTTTTCTGAACTGAGTGCAATTTATGCTTAGTATATGTCAAATACTAAAGAGAGGCTTGTCAATGAGTGTTTACATATAGATTGTGTTAGGTTTGTTCAAATGTATCAGTGGTGTTTGTGTATGCTTCAAAACTACAAGTATATATTTCTATAATTCCTGGCACTTGACAATATATGCACAACCTCTGGATATTGAAAATATCATTGAATTATTAAAAATTTCAGCTGTATTTTATATATAATCTTACCTTCTCTTGGGAAATACATTATACATCTTAAAAGGTCTTTGTGAGACTACCTTAACAAGTGCAGTGGAACAGCACCTTCTACCTGGCTATGTGATCTGAGGACAGGATGGGTTTACACTGCTGGGAAGATTGTCAGAAACTGGAGTTTGGGGTTCCTCCTGGAGCTACACACTCATCATATACTGCGTGCATTACAGCTTTTAGATCTTCTTCTGAGGAAATAGAGTATCCGCTTTGGAATTTGGAACTTAATTCCAACTTCACCTCCTGGAGTCTTTCTTTTCCAAAGTGAAGAGATAGGCTTTCCCTGGCAGGATTTGCCATTATCTCTCTGCTGAGTGGCCATTCACTTCGTTTTGCTTTCTTAATGCCTTATTTTAATGGACCACTTGGAGAATGTTAGCCTTGTGAAGACCTGTTACAATTAATAGGCAAGTGAAGATTTAATAGCTAAGAAATTAATAAATACCAACTCCCTTTCTCCAATATTTTGTTAACTCATTCCCACTTGTCTTCCTAATTCTGGTACCTCTATCTTTTCTTCTTCTTGAGATCAAAGATAGCTGTGAATCCATAATGAGTGATTTCAGGGTGTCTTATTTCCCTAAGTTCTTAGTGAATGTTCAGATTAATACTCTGCCTTTAGGCTGGCCGTGGATTTTGCTCCATGGGGAAAAACTTAACATTCTTAATCTTTAGCTTTCTAGAAACATAAGCCAATGTCTAAATGATTAGTATGCTCTGGTAAATTCTTTCTTGAGAGACCATTATTTTTGGTCTTTATCTGGTTTCAGAAAGTATAAATTACAGCCTATGCAGAGAAATATGAAGAATGAGTTGGGCATTCAAAGGCATTAGAACCATTAGCTTTGACTTCAGTTAAGCCAAATAAACAAATCTAGCTTCAAGTAGGAAGAGGGGAGCTGCTGTCTCTGCCTTTTAAGGCTTCAGTGTTATGTTTATTCTACCCATACAGGTCAGAGGCAGTAGCACTCACATTGTTAACAGCTCCTTTGCAAAGCCCTAGGTCTTGTTGAATTGGAGCTAGAGAGGCCACAGACATGGGGTTTGACCCCTGGTAGCTTTGGGGTCTAGTAGGGACCTTTCACCATCTCAGATGAGGGGAGCTGGTTCCTTGAGAGTGTAAGTCATCCCAAATCCATCACCACCCGGGAAATCTTGTAATAACAACAATGGCAATTAATATTTGCCAAAGTTTACTGTATCTGTTCATGATTTTAAGCACCTGACATGCACTGGCTCGCTTTATCCACAAAGCAATTCTACAGGTCAGGGTCTCCTGTGTGCCTCCTTTTACCAACAAAGAAACTCAGGGCTAAGGAAGGTTATGTCTTTCCTACAGTAATACTGCCTGTTCCAGAGTCATTGATTTTGTCAGATAATAGACATTTTACTTGCCTCTGTTTGTCAGGAACTCTTATGACCGTGTGTGTGTGTGTGTGTGTGTGTGTGTGTGTGTGTGTGTGTGTGTGTGTGTGTTTTTGCAAAGGACACAAAGAAGGACAGTAACAGAGAAACCTTGTGATATGCTATAAGGAGATAAAAATCTCCTGTGAGATATGTGGTAGGCTAAGATAAGAGATAGTCACCATGTGGCCTCATTGAAAAGTTGTAATTTATACCAAGACTGACAGGAAGTTGGATGTGGAGCTTTGGTGGATCCAGGTAGACTATTTCTCTTTAAAATTGCTGCCTTGTCTCTGTCAGCTGAAATACTCTCACAAACTCATATCCTAGGTGGACTAGAAGCTGTAGGAAGTTATTTCTCGAAATTTTAGAGCATGCAAGTCAGAGAACAACCACATACCTGCACACTTCAGCTCCTGGAGAGAAACACTTGTCCAGGCTGTAGATGCTGGCTTCTACTTATATCCTGGCAAGGTCATTGAGGAAACAGGCTTAGCTAGCTATCTGACCTCTTGAAAGTACATAATCTAGTCCATGAAGTTTCACACATACACACTGGATTCACTTCCTAATACTAATATATTGCAATTAAAGTTTTAACATATATATTTTTTTTGGTGGGGGTCTGTGAGTATCAGCATATTTTAGTGAGAGTACAACATTGTCAGTCTTCTATAGTAGCTGTTACAGTCTGACCACTGGATAGAGAAGTTGTCTAGATTCATGGCTTAATAGATTTCATCTATATGTGCATTCCTCAAAAGTTCTGTCTTTTTTTTTTTTATGTTGCATATCAGAATTGAGAATGTTGGCCTGGACACACTGTAAATATCACCAGAACTCTGAGATAGAAGCAGGTTTTCATCTTTTGCCTGAAGCAAATAATTCCATCGTGATGCAAATCAGAAGATAAAGGATAGTGTTCCAGTGTTTGGTTAAAATAAAAGCTGCTGGCAATACCATGTATGGTCTGATGGTGAGCAGTAATTTCAGAGAATTGAAGATCTTTTTTTTTTTTTTTTCATTTAAAATAAAGGCATGAGAAGAGAGGTGGCTTTCTTTCCATTCTGGGAACCAAGTCTTAGCTCTGTTTTAAGTCTTACTGCTGCTTGAGCAGAATGCATTTTCAACTGGTTTTGAGTAACTAAGAATTGCCAGCTAGTGGGAGCTCATGGACCACAGACCGACAGCTGAGAAACCTGCATGGGACTGAAGTAGGCCCTCTGAATATGGGTGACAGTTATGTGACTTGACCTGTTGGGGGCGGGAAGGCTGGCAGTGGGAACAGAACCTAACCCAAGTACAAGAACTGGCTTTTTGGAGCCCATTCCCTATGGTGGGATACCTTGCTCATCCTTGTTACAGGGGCTTGGTCCTGCTTCAACTTGGTA